TGGACTGAACTGTAAGTATTATTTAATTGGTCTCATTAGGACCGAGGATGAACCGAACCGAACCGATCCAACCCTAATCTTGGTTATGTCATGGGTAACAATTTATTAACAACATATATCTGTGTTTAATTAAATGCTAAATCTAACCTCATATGATACTAATTTATTTACTACAATGCTTATTAATGATTAGCAAGTACAAGCCACTCACAAATAATATAAAATAAAATAACTTGCTTTTTTTAAAATCCTGTTTTTCAGAATTGCTAGTATATAAAATTGCAAATTTGTGCAACCTAAAATATTCAATATATTTAATAAATTAAAAAATTGGCAATTCAAAGACTAGGTTTATACCTTTCCAAGCACTTGTTATCAGGTGCTTGATTCTTTTCAATATTATCTAATTCAGGTGTTTTGTCCTTTTTAATATTATCCAATTTAGGCACTTGATCCTTTTTTGTACTTTGGTTAGATTCATTGACACATCTTTGATATTGTTTTAATATTTTGATCTCTTCTTTTATTCTTTTTTACTGTTGGGCTTTGACTGCCTTTAAATAAGAGTTATATGGATGGTAACATATTATGGTTTAGAACCTCAGATATTGGTTCGAGATCATAAATCTTGGTTTAGGACCATAGATCTTGGTTTGAGACCACAGATCATGATTCCCGACCATGGCTATTTTGCAATGTATAAATATAACAGCTAAACTAATAGAGAATATGGAGAATTCCACATGAGTCATAAATGAAATAATGAATAACGTCCTTATGAATCGTACATCAACTAAATTCATTCCTAAATAACCCGTTATTATTAAATCCGAATCCTTTATAAACATCCATCTCGCATAACCTATGCTTGTAACCCTGAGCTAATTACCTTATGTTAGCCAAATCTCCCGCGGTTACAACACTTGGCATTTTTGTGAAACAAATAAATAAATTACTTGCAACACGAGCGTGTGTATATAGGTTAATTTAATTCGTCGTAGAAGATACGACGTGTATAGGTGAAATTAATTCATTATAAGTTTAATTTCTAGCTGGTACTAAGCATTTTGAAAAGTTTATAATATACGATTTTTCATTTAATGGACAAGTTGTTAATTTTTCTATTTCAATCCAATAATGCTATGGAGATAGTTCGAAGTAAAATAAGAGTTAGAGTAAAATGAAAGGTTAAAAAAAAAAATAAAGAAAATACAAAATTGCATTTTAAAAAATACATAAATTCTTTATGTATTAGTATCTAAAGCTAAAAATTTGAAATTCTGATATTCAAAGAATCAAGTACTTTCTTGTTATTGTAGCGCACCAACTTGGTGCACATTTTCGGATGCGAATCCAACAAAGTAACATACACTGTCACTATACAAAGACCGCAGGGTTTATATTTTCTAATGTAAGTATCTAGCCATTCCTGCATCTTGTTAAGTCGTTCTAATAAGCAATACTCATCTCCATAGGTGAGTGAAAATTTTTGTATTAAAAATGCTCAAATAATACAGTAATATACACACGAAAATGGCTAGATGCTCACATGAGACTGTAAGACGTATACAATAAGGTCACAAATTTTACAACCCGTTGTAGCAATAACATGCTAGCTTTTTCAATAAGGCGATAAATTCAAATTTTGTTTTTGAGATGTATACTTCATTGTTTTTGATATCTATTTTTCTAATCTCTGATTTTAAATATGCAGAAAATGCGGTTCTTTACAGTCCAGCACCAAGAACAGAATTTATGTCCGATATTATATCTGATAAGGTCTATTATTATGGCGGATTTGGAGCTAACGGCGCAATGAATGATTTTTTTTATATTGACTTGACGCAGCCATTTTATAGTTTTTCACCTCCATATCAGTTCATAAAATATTTAGATTATAGAGGTGGTGCTAGTGCCAACTCTGATGCAAATAATATATATCTTTTTGGTGGTTATGGTATTTCTTCCGACCCACCTCCTGGTGAACTTTATATAATTCAATCACTTTCAACGGATCCAGTAATAAATTACATTCAGGATACGAATTCGACACCGTCTTCGAGAAAATGGCATACTTCTGTGGTTGATCATAAGAATAAGAAAATGTATGTTTGGGGGGGAGAGAAAGTATTGTACAGCGGGTATTTAAATATTTTCATACATGTATGTCCTGTATAAGCCGGAGAACTAAGGTTCGTCTAAAAAAAAACTTTATGAAAAGTTATACTCAATCAACTAAATTAAATAGATGTATGTGTAGTGGAAATAAGTATATAAGTAATAGTTATACACTGGGTTCTATGTGTATAACTATTGTATTTTGTTAAACCAAGTACTCCGACTTTTACAAGCTTATCGTATAAACTCATTCTGTAATACTAACTCGTATATTTAAGACCTATTATCACTCAAAGTGACGGAGCTATGTACATATATGATATTGAACAATCCGTCTGGACTTCAAATCCCACTCCCAATCAACCTATAGGCCGTCAATTTCATACAGCAACTTTATTGCCTGATGGACGGATAATTATGATTGGTGGAGCCTTTAGTTCAGACGTAGGGCAGGTAAGAAATGATATATTGTAGTGCGAGTATAATATTCTGTCATTTTGATTGGCTAAAACCGGGTCAGCAAATCATAGATTATTTGTAAATAATCTTCTAATTGAAGCATTTTTATTTGCTATTTTAAAGCTTGATGTATATGACACGAAAATCAATCAATGGATAAATATTGTGCGTAATTTATTTTCGTTCATTTTTATGCGTTCTCTTTAAATACTTAATTTCTAAAAAAATTCAGACAGCAACAAAGTACGGTTTTATTCCTCCCATTGGTTCTCATTCAGCAACTTTATTACCTGATAATCAGAATATTATCATATATGGGGGTAGTAATCAAACTGAATATTCTGGTCTAGCAGTTCTGAATTCTGTAAGCTATGTGTGGACAGTTATATCTCCGAATGGAAGTGCACCATCTTTACTTTCAAGCGGTCACAAAGCTACACTCTATTTTGATGTTATAATTTTCGCATTCGGTAAATATTATGAACTATCGTATAACCGCGAAATAACGCACAGGGGCGTAATTTTGAATTTTGGCCCGAATTAAGCTTAATTTAGGCCGAAATTTGAAATTACACTCCTGCGCGTTATTTCGCGGTTATACGGTACTTTATTTCTCTAATATTTGACCATAGATTTATCGGATTTCTGAATTTACTGTACCTAGGTGAATACTCTTTCAATAACTCTCGTTATCTTATGGATACCACAGTAAGAATCCTCAATATATCAAATGGTCAGTATAGATGGGTTGATTCATTCACCCCTCCTCCAACCCCTCCTCCAACCCCTCTTCCAACCACTCTTCCAACTCAAAACAAAAGTACGAATATTCAGAATCCCAATGTACAAATTTCAAACTCAAATATAATTATTATTGTATCTACGATTGGTGGTACTATATGCATCGGAATATTGGTATTAATTGGGTATATTATTTATAAGAAAAATCGATCAAGAGAATTCAGATATGTAACGGAAAGTAGTAATGAAATTAGATATGTAACGGAAAGTAATAATGAAGTCAGATAGTGACTCATTAAAAAATCAAAACTTTAACGTTAAAAGACAAAGCAACTACGTATTTTGGTAAAAATCACATGCATATAATCGCCATAAAAATTCCATGTAGTATGTAAATGTTTCAAAGTGAGTAATTTGTGTATGCAGTTTAAAAAAATATATATTTTGCATATACGTAAGTACTGTATCTATGAAAAATAAAAAGTTAATTCATGAGATGTTGTTGCTGTAATAAAGACTTTTAATAATTATTATACATCGTAGTTAGCAAAAAAAAACATCTGATAAATTTCATTGAATTTGTAATAAAATTTTTTTTTGATTTGTTGAATTTTTAGTAAAGTCTCGATCTCCATGGTATTGATAATATGGGATCTTTGCTATCAAAATGACCCTCCGAGGCTATGTTGATTTTGTGAATAAAAATTAAATTTGCCAGCTATCTAGCAATCCAATTTGAATAAACTTTTTTTTATTTTGTAAATCTCAATAGAATCTACAAATTAAAAAATTTTCATTCAAATTGGATAACCAGTTGGTTGGCAAATTTAATTTTTATTCCCAAAAATCAACATAGCCTCGGAGGGTCATTTTGATAGCAAAGATCCCACATGTATATAGTATATATTTATTTTTTATAGTATAACTTATAGAATTTATAATGCTGTACATAATAAGAATAAATGATGATGATATTAGGCCATACAAGGTTAACAAGATCCGGTGTTGTAACCGTGGGAGAGACTTGACTAACATGAGGTCAAATTAGCTCAGGGTTACAAGCATAGGTTATGCGAGATGAGTGTTTATAAAGGATTCAGATTTGATGATAGTGGATTATTAAGGAATGTATTTACAATGCATAAGGTACTTTATTTATGACTCATACGGAATTCTTCTTCCTCCTTTATTAATTCGGGCCTTATATTTATACATTTTAGTCTGCCATGGTTTGAAACCAAGATCTGCAGTCTCAAACCAAGATCCGTGGTCTTGAACCATTATATGACTTCATAATGATATACCGAAAAAAATATACTGTAGGCCCCAGAATCCGACCCAACTACTGCGGCCAAATATGACCCAAGATCATGGGATCAAGTGCATTTCTTGCATTTATCCAATTTGTCGCATTTATCGGATTTGTTGTAATACTGAATCTTTTATTATAAATAAAGGCCGTGAAGGCCTTAGATAACTAAGTTTCGTGTTGCTTACAATTATCGCTCCCTAATAAATATTACCCCTTACCCTATAAAACCCTTAAGACCTTAAATAAATACCACTCTTAATAACCCAAACACAGATCGATCACTAAGTGGCATAGTGAAAGATCTTTGTTCGCATAATTGTATTGCTCACGTGACTTCACATAAGATTGTTTTTCCGGTGTTATGTATAATGTGTCCCGAAGTTTGACAGACAAAAATTAGTCCAACCTTTGGCAAACAAGTATTGTTGATGATTATAAATCAACATTCCACAGTCCCTTTCAGCAAAAGAAATTCCCAAATCCACATCAAATGATTTTATTAAAGACCAATGACTATTGGTCTTCATCAAGCTTTTATATTAAGTTACCTTATAATTATTAATGTTTTTGTTTATACAAGAAGGGGTTTATGGGTTTATTGGTGTCTAGATGAATAAGATTAAAAATAGAACAAGCAGGATAGAAAGAAGTAGAGCCATCAATAAATTATTTATGTAAGAAAAATTATATATTTAAGGATTGGCTTTTTCACCTTCAATAAAGATTCTTCAGACTTTGACTTAAGACTTTGTTTTTAAAACTTTATTCTCAAAATACTTTTACTTGTTTTTTATAATTAAAACCCCAAAGGCTAATTGAAGCCTAGAGTAAATTGTAATATTTTCATACTTCTTGTTAGTATTAAAGGCTAAAGTTTGATTTATTAAATTTCTATTTTTATTTGTTTTATTATTGTATTAGTTTGTTGTTGTAAATATATCTTTATGATTTTATTGTTATTATATGAACATATTTTCATGTTTATATATATTAATCTATTATTAAACTTACCACTTTCCTATTATGCCTTAAATCAATTCTTTTTTAGATTATCAACAATAGACAATTGTGATTAAACTATCCAACTGCAATTATCCTGCATATCTTAATAACCACTATATATTCTTTAATTTATTTTTAAGCAGATATTTTTTTGTTTTGTATCTGCTATGACTATATATAATTTGTCTCTAGATCTTTCTCTAGACTAAAATTCCCACACTAGTAAATGCCTAGTTCTTTTATAATCTATAATTAGCTTACTATCCTAAACTAATGTGGTATTTAAATTACTAATACATTCTCAACCTAATAGTAATATTTGGTGCTGATTGTGTAAATCATATGCTGTCAGTTTTCAGAACTATATAAACAATTTTGACTAACAATCCAGAAATAATAAAGAATACAACCTTTATTATTATTTTTTTAAAAAGATACCCCAAGCAATTAACTACTTAACTAAACATTACTATGATAATTTTTATATTAATTTTTTTTTTATATATTAAGGTGACCACTTAGGCCATTGGCATGAACTTTATTCAGGTAGTTATAATATTACATCTGTTTTACGAAGATACAACTAGCCACACATGCACTTTTTGGATGCTTAATTTAAATAGTCTGCCTGGGTTCTACACTAGCTGCCATATCTGCAATCTAACTAGAAAATTACCTATTTAAGCCCTAGTTATTTCTAATGAGAGTACAACTAGCTATATATATAACTTTTGGTTGCCTATTTAAGTAGTCTGCTCTAGGTTCCACACTAGCTACTATATCTATAACCCAACTAGGGAGTTACCCATTTAAATCCTCTAGCTACTAGTTTTGTAACATGCCTTACTCTAACACTTATATAAGATTAGCTATTGCTATGAATGACCCTTAAACTTTAGCCAAACCATATTGGGGCATTTATCCTTGTAGAAACCTAACAGTGTGGTACATGTTCTACACATGTGCTCACCTGCATGTTCGGTAACTTTTTCCTAATTAGTAACTGTTGTGCTGCCACCACCAGGTTTGTATCTTAAGCTATCCTTTTGGATACTGCTGTAACCTGATCCGTATCTCAAGCCACAACTTTCCTAATTAGTTTTCACTTATGTACTCCTGCCCTTGCAAGATTCACAATGGTTCCAGTATCCACGCTTTCTTTCCCAAATTCTTTACCAGTCTCTTTCTTATTTCCAGCTAGCATCCCAGAAGGATTGGTCTGTCTAGGCTCTAGGTGCCTTATGGTTTCTCTCTCCTTGGTACATGCTTCCAGAGCACAAGTTCTTTTTCTCCAGTGGCAGGCCAGCAGTTCAGCTGGTATGTCCTCCTACTTAAGGACCTGGTTGCTTAGTTTTCTGATCTTGGTCTCCAGTTTCAAATTCAGTCTTTCTGTAGCACTGTTAAAGATTACTGCTACTTCCCAACTCAGGACTTGCCAAATAGGTTTTCAGTTATTCTGGTTCCTTGGTTTTATTACACCAAAGCTCCTATTCAAGATGATGTAACCAAGGTTACAGATTAGGATCTAACCAATAATGATAGCCATTAACCATATCACAAAGCTATTTTTCAAAAATGTTTTCTGTGGGATTCGAACTCTAGACTTGCCGTCTGGGGGTGCGAAAACTCCACCGCTTCACTAAGTCACCACCCTTATTTTTATATTATTTATTACTTTTTACAAATATCTCTTCTTAGTTTTGTATCTTTTAAACTTGGTATAGTATCTTATAACTAGTAATAATCTATTTGTAATATACAATTAGGCATTTTAAGAAATTCTAAGATTTGAATAAATTGAATATCTGATTAATTGTTGAGCAGCTTTATTTTTAGCTTTTATTATAGTGAATATTCTAACAATTTTTTTATACTTATTAACAAGTTTCTGGCTACTTATAGTGCTTAGCACAATTAAACAAAAATTTGACAATCAAATACTTGTAATTAAATTAGATATAAAACAACCAAAACTTAATATATTAGTGTTGTCTACTGGAATATTCTAGTAAAACTTACTGAAACTAGATAGCCATTAGATCTAATTAGATAAAATTTGAAGAAATTTACTTCTAGTAATTAAATATCTACTAGACTGTTTCAGTAAAGATTTTTATTGGCTAGATGAAACTTTTAGTGACTTCCAATAACTTCCAATAAAAGAAAATATATATATATATACAATTTTAATTTGTATAATATATATAGGCTTGGTGCTACAGAAAAGGGAGAAATCAACAAAACAAAAGATCTTCAGAAGATTAATTTTTATGTTATAAATTTTATAATAAATCATAAGAAAATAGAAACTTTAAAGAGCTATATTACAAAATTTTATTAATATAACTACTTTTGAGTTTTAAGTAAAAAATGAATCTAATCTTATTCTAAATTGATTTGTGTAAAAAAAAATTTTGAAGATTTGTTGATTTCTCTCTTTTCTGTAGCACTCCGCCCATATATTTATTTGACATATATGCATATTAGAGTAACAAATTGACTAAATAGGCCACCGTCAATAGAACTAAAGCAGATTGGTAATTTATTAAAAAAATTAATATTTTAATATTCATAGCTTATATTTTAATGAATTTTTAGCTATATTAGTTATTTAATAGTCAAAAGAAAGCTTATGATCTAGGCTTTCTTTTGAATATAAATCATTAAGATAACCTCAAAGTTTATTAAGATATGAGCTTTGAAAGTTAATATATTGATTTCTTTTAATAAATATCAATTTGCCTTATTTTATTAATAGTAGCCCAAATCATTAAAACAATATCAGCTATATTAATTGTTTTACTATAGTCATATTTTATCAAAAAAATTTTTCTTTTATTAAAAATGCTGTATAGCTGTATATCAGGTTCTATATTCCAATTGTTATTGTATATTTTATTAATTATCATATAAAAACATGCACAACTTTATTGGTTAATATTATTTGTATCTATATATTTTATTAGGTAATGAT